ATTACAACCTATTCAATACCTTTTCTTTTGCTCTTAAACAATGAGTGATCTTTTCAATCACATACATTTCCTTGACCTTATCTAACAATTGAAGATGATGATCATGATTTGTAATTTAACCTGTTCTCGGTCTTGACTTTAATCTATCATATACAGACATAAGACTGGAGTCCATTTCCTTAAGTGTCACAATTGATTGTTTGAAAGTGATACCTTCGTTGGGCAGTATCCCCACCACCGGACTCTTATCCACCCAGGTGTACAGGTCTCTGCTCACGTACTCATCCAGTTCTATGATGTTATCAGTGAAAAGCTGTGTCATCCCGTGGTCACTGGTCACTATCAGGTTCACTTTCTCAAACAGCCCGGCCTTTTTCAGTTCATTGATGAGGAAGCCGAGTTTCTCATCGATCCCGACGATGACTTCATCCATGAGGGAGTTCTGAGGCCCCAAAGTGTGCCCGCTTTCGTCTGGCTCCTCCCAGTAAAGGACTCCAAAATCCACTGCGTCCTCATTAGGCGCAGATAACCACCCAATGATCCGCTCCACTCTGGTTTCAAAGGAGACGGAGGCGTTGTACTGGAGGAACTGAGAGGGGAACATGCCGTGGATCTTCACATCAGACCCTGGCCACATCGCCGCCCCGCTCCGCCCTCCGGCTTTCTGGATGGTTACCCAGAGGGGCACCGCCTCCTCCCACCACCGTGAATCATAAATACTGTCTGTCTCCATGGAGAAGGAGCGGTTGAGGACGGGGTCGTACATCTCGTTGGCCACAATGCCGTGCGTCTCTGTATACAGACCAGTCACCAGGCTGTAGTGGTTGGGGAAGGTCTTGGTGATGTAGGTGTTCTCCACCCGCTCTACCATCACGCCCTCCTTCATGATGTTGTGGAAGTTGGGCGTCGGGACCCGGTCGACGTAGTCCCAGCGAAAGCCGTCAAAGGACACGAGCAGCAGCTTGGGCCGGTCCCTCGCACGGTGGCCCCTGCTCCCATGCTGGTTCAGGCTATGGAGGGAGACCAGAGGCAGCAGCAGAAGCAGCAGGGCCCACAGGCAGAGCAGAGGACTGCTGCCTCCTCGCAGCAAGCAGCCCGGCATAGTGCAGTGTGTGGAGGCACAACCTGAAAGTACACAGAAATACTGGTTATTACAAAGCAATCAACATCACATTTCTTAATTTACACAAACTTAAGGTTGCTTATAAGGATGCTATGAGATTATTACTTAAAGGGATAGTTCACCCAAAAATGAATATTCATTATTATCTACTCACCACTATGCCAATGGAGGGGTGGGTATAGTGTTTGAGACATCAGGCTAAAAACTTGGTGTAAATGACCATTAGCTCTACCCAGACATCATAATACTACAGTGATATTTTATAGAAGCTAATGATCATTTTCATGTTAAATTAATCTGCCAATAAGTTTCCCCATTAATCTTTTGTCTTTAGATTGTTCAGAAAA